AAGTTTATAGGAGTGATCTCTGCGTAACGTAACAAAAGAAAGTACTTTACCTTTAAATATGCTTAAGAATTAAAAAAAAAATTCCCATTAGAACAGTTCACTTGACCGAAATGTCTGGATAATGAAGACTCAGAGAATGAAGGTATGATAATCGGAAATGCCGTTCTGGTCTTTCGACGCCATATTGAGAAAACATTACATTCTAACTTTTACTTCGTGTTTTTTGTCCTGTATGCTTGTCATTCCCCAACAAAACATATAACAAATGAAGGTTACTAAAATCAGAAAACAGAAAAAAGATACTTATAGAAAAAATTATATCATATGGTCCAAGCAGATAAATTTCATGCAAACAAATGTACTGGAGATTGGAGGGGTGAAAACGTTAGGAAGAAAAGGTAAATTGAAGAAAGACATACTTGGGGAACGGGGTCGCCACGGTTGTAAGTTGTCCCATAAATAAACACTTTTGGCATATTTTTCCGTTCATATTACGGTGGTTGGGGTCAGCCATTACCGCCAAGGTGAAAATCGCGTATGTCGTCTGCGCAGCAGGACAACCGCGGTTTGGTATTTTCTGGGCAACAAATTCGAGGTAGCTTCGTGGGCGATTTCGAAGAACAACTGACAGGCAAAAATGATTGAATTATTAAATATGATTAGAAGAGGAAGAGGACTTAAAGTATGTCACATCACCGTTTGAATTTTTTTTGTAAGTTTTATATTTTCATGTAATATACTAATGGTTTCTCAAAAAAGTAATAGATTGACGCATTGAGAATGAAATAATTTCTTTTTCAATTAACAATTATAACGATCCAACAATCATGAATTTTTTATGCTGATTCATATAAAATTCTTACAATTTAAGGTTTTGTCAATTAATATCACATTGATTTTCATATCGTTATCATGTTAAGTGTTATTTACATTTAGGTGCAATGAAAGAATACACAGCTGGTAAAGAAATACAAAAGCATCAAGCATATAATGAAAAGCATTCCATCTTATTCAGTGTTGTTTTAGTCCATGCTACCAAATGAAATTCATCACCACTTCACATGATTTACTTTAATACACATGCAGCAATCAACATTCGAAAAAAATCCTACATCATCCAACATTCAAAAAAAAAAAAAAAAAAAAATTGGCAGTCGATGGCCGTGTAAAGTGCTTTTAACCATCAGCCCAGGGAGCTCTGTCACAAGACCCCATACAAAAAAGTAAAAAGGGAGCATGGCTCCAAACACTGCTATTTGTCTATGTCCTTGGTTTGTTATTCATGAGACCTAATAAAAGGTATCAGATTCCTTAAGGGTCAAAGCGACGCGTAAAATAAGCAAACTAGAAAGGATATGTTGCAATTTCTACTATTTTACTGTTGTTGTTGCCGAGTTTTTTGTGACTTGTGCACTTGGTTCTTAATGGCCTGACTCGATTCTCGTGCTGTGACGACCCCGTGGTTATTAAGGAAAATTGGCGAACGCCGTTGTCTTGTTTTGAAACAGATGACAAGGACTGTTTTTAACTCAGTAAACACAGAAACCCGTAGTGACTTAAAAATAACTACACAGATGTGTGATATCATTGTTATACGGACCTATATATATAAACATATAAAACGGGACATCTCCACTGAACTAAGTAAAAACTAGAAAGAGCAAAGCATTTTTAAGTACATCACCACAGGAAATGTTAACTTTCTAAATGTCAAAATTCTGACAATAAGTTTTTAATTAATTGCCACTCCATGCAAGAAGTCACGGAAGGCTGGCAGAGAGAGTGTTAATTAAAAACCTATCACGGCGTCTCTCCCTGACAGGTCTTGAAATCATGTTGAGTGCCAGAACAATTGACCTGCCAGTTACATGGTGAGGATTGCCGCCCCGCGTGGAACTAAATGACAGAGGCATTACGTCATAGAAAAAAATGGTATCCTGTGTTTAAATTCCTTATTAAAATTCAAATTGGGCTTCTGGATAGTGGGTGTCGTCTTTGACTGCTGCCTAGTGAGATTTGTAAAGCAAAATCTTTTTCTTATAAGGACCTGTAAATATGATAGGTGCACATAATAATGCTGCAAAATATTCGTGTTGGTTATGTCTGCTGATATTTCTTCACAAAAACATTTTTTTCTGTTAATGTTTTCAAATAAAATTCGTATTAAAATTCATATCAAAATATGATTCTTCCCAATTGAATTAAGGATTGACTGCGAATGAGACCATAACCTCAGAGTGGGGCCGGATCTAGGCGTTAGGGAGGGGGTTAATTCGCCATTTCCCTACGCCCTGAACCCCCATCCACACAATATAGCATTTATAGCATACGTTATACGTTTACTTCAGTGGGCATCAAGGTGCGTCTTCTCTCCCTGTTTTGAAATCTCGCAACGTTTTCTGTCTCCTACCTGATAAACCCCAAAGGTAAATCTGAAAACTCGCCTCTGTGGGTAACACTCTTTACCACCGATTCCAAACGGCAACGGAGAGCATGTTACAGGAGAGACGGCACATGTAGACTCGGGGTGGTTTCTCCAAACCCTTGACGCAGATTGTCACCCTGTTGAAAGGCTAGTTGCGTCATGTACGGGCAATCTGGCCGAGTTGTGTATCACGGTACGGGGTCCAGAGTGGTTCCAACAGTGAGCTGTCGCCTGGCCACGTGTTTGGTACAACGGCTGTCTACCTGCATTAGAAATAATACCACAGAAAAGGGCAGAGAGGCGAGAGAAGTGACAGGTGTGAGAGATCCGTGTTGAGATGTAGTCGTTGTTGTTGTTGTTTTTGAAAAACTGAGTAAGTTTCAAAACTAGTCTGCTCGTTTCAGAATCAAATCAAAAATATTGGCGAAGCATTTGCTCCCCAAATTTCATACATAACACACAAATGTACTTTACCGACACTCGGACGCCGTTAGACTGGTTTCATTTCCCAATTGAAAAAAAGAGCAACAAAGGATAGAGCATAGAGGTAAAAGACGTGAACTTGCTTTAGACTTATTTTCGCTATAGCTTGAGATTGTTGCATTTTGAATTAAAATATTACGCAGTATTGTCGCATGTGACATCGGTTTTTGACTTTTAAAGGTAACATAACTTCGTTAAAGCACTAGAGCGATTGTTACTAAATATGTTGTATAAATATGTTGTATATATATATATATATATATATATATATATATGTTCACATCTTGCAAAAAAGAGATTTGCAGTAGAAAATCTGTTAAAAATGGCGTCCTGGCGTTGAACATTACAAGATGAGCGGTTTCTATTTTGTACTTATTTCAGGTGTGGGGAAAACAAACCCCCTTTCTGTACGTTCAAATTACATGGACGAGGCACTTGAAAGACACCTTGCATGTTGCATGTTACAATGACAGAGTTATGAGCTCAAATATCCGTTTCAACACGGAAGGTAAAACGATTCATGCATATTTACCCTGCAAATATGTACAGCATCTTGCTAAAAGTTTGTTTGTTATCTTCAGCCCACGAAACGCACATTACTCGCATTCGACTTCAGCAGGCGCAGAAGACCCTAATTAATCCATGCTTGTCATTCAACAAGTTCTACGGAGCTTCTAAATTCCTAGCATATATCACACGTTACAGTACACCGAAAAATATGATGAGAGCCTAACGTGGGTTTTTCAAAGTACAGATATTTTTATACGCTTTTGGGGAATATGTGTGAATTTCACATTCAAATTTTTGAAATTAATATATTAAAATCAAGCTGAGATTGGTAGAGGCATACGTAGGTGAGGCAGAAACTCTCTTTTGTAAAAACAGGAATTAGGTTATGTAAACTCATACTGTATCTAAAATGTATCCCTAGGCGACAAACGTACAAACTGAAGACAAGAATTGAATACCGCTAACATAATGGGCGATAAACCAAATTAAGTTATTATTTGTAATCTACAGCGGGGACCGAACGTCAGGAACTTCTGTAGAGAAACTTTCAGGATCAATTGTTTTTAAAATGGGGACCACAACGGCACTTAAGTGGGCCTTAAAGGTATTTCACGTGACACATATCACGAGGTCGCTTACTCAAGACCGACCACCACAGCATTATGGCACCACAAATTTGTCTTACATATCAATAACAGTGACACGCATTTATTCGTTTAACTATTGATGGACATGGGTATTGGTGACACTTGGAATTTCGTGCTCAGGCGGAATGGATATTGTATATAATATTAAGATATGCATTAACATATAATTTCTTTATTTATTTATATAATGATGGCACTCTAACATCGTCTTGATTTTTACCCCACTGAGCAGGTAATCTGTTATTTTCGTGTAATGAAATTTCAATCATAATCACAAAGAATCGAGTTTTAGCAAAATGAATTTTTATATCTTCTGTGTAAAGCGCTTGGGAATCTGTTGCTCTTGGATCATGGCAGTATTGCGCTGCACCAAAATAAGAAGTTGCATAAAGTCAACGTCTTCAAGTATTAAAGTAAAATTTATCGCTCTGATGTGTAGTGTAAAGTCAGATCAAGCATATCTTATGAAATAAAATTACAAGTGCGTCAGAATATTTGAATTATCTACTTTGATGTTTATTGAATTAATAATTTATCCACAATTGAGTCAGAATATTTTGAAGAAGTGCTTCATGCTATTTTAGGTGCCATTAGAATATGGAAAAGGTGTTTATTGAATTAAAATGCATTCGGGCATATCTGACATACTCCTGAGATCGAAATCCTACCGAATCATTTGAATAATGAGATACAGAATGCCAGACATGCGAAGATAAATTGGGGATACCATCCCTGGAGCTAAATAGCATCAAAAAGAATCAAACGATTACTGATAAGTCTAGAAAAGTTGCATGTCTATATGGGGTGACTTTAATTTGTCTTTATTTTTGGTGTTTCATTTCAGTGTTTTCGATGAGCATCGTAAATATGCTTATGCATGTAATTTATTTCTGGAAAAATACTGAAATTGAGTCTACAGAATCGTGTTGTTTCAGGGGATGACGAGCAGGGGAGAGAGGTTACAGACAAGGACGGCAAGAGAAGGCGGAAACAGCGGAGAAACAGGACGACGTTCAACAGTACGCAGCTCGCAGCTCTAGAGAGAGTGTTTGAAAGGACACATTACCCAGACGCCTTCGTGAGGGAGGAGTTAGCCCGCAGAGTTAATCTCAGTGAAGCAAGGGTGCAGGTAAGAGTTTAAATGGTATAGTTAAATTTTCATTGATATTGTTGTTGAATTTTCCGTTTTAGTTTGTGATATAATTGATGCCTGTCATGACGACCCTCAAAACACGCACACACACACGTTGTGTTAAAATGTAAAGGTATTTCCTTTCTATTTCGGAAGCTTCTTTTAATCTATTTTTCTAAATTAACTAAATTTATATTTAACATTGAAGATTATGCTTTGTTGTTCACAAAAAATAATTCAAGATGTAGGTAGAAAACAGACTTGTAACTAAACAACAATAAAATGCAGATGCCGAGACTTTTATATAGCAAAAAAATAATTTGCGTGGTAACTCTACATTTTCCTCTTAATCACCAAGGCAATGTATATCCAACAATGTATATCCAAAACCTTTCGCATTTATTTAGCTCTAAGTTTCTTTTGTGCAGTTTATATGCCTTATAGACCGAAAGCATGTGCAACATACATGTACTGGTTATTACGGGTGCGAAATGCAAAGTGAAATATGAAAAAAAAAAATAAGCCATAATTCTGTCGCAGATCCAACACCATAACGTATTTATAAAAGTGTGTGCTTTTAGTTGAGAACTCTGGCAGTTTAACTAACCAAATATTTTCCAAAACTTAATTTTTCTCTCAAAACATCCTCTTGGTAGGCGAATCTCCGTTTAAAAGAAATATTGTCGACTCGAGTTGAGGATCCCATTAATCAGGAGGAATTGATCTCGCGAAAAAGACTGATGCGTAGCACAGGACTCGGTTCATGGAATTTGCCAGCGCAGACGCGCACGCAGCTACCGAAAAACGTTTTTTATTCGCGGTAGTACTTTGAATATCAGTATTTACCAAAAATATTTATATTTTTCTGCTTACATTTGGCTGCTTGTTTGGTTGTGTGATGAGTGTATTAATGAAATACAGTATAAAGACATTGCTTTATTGACGCGAAATACTTCATTAAATTATCTTGATCTAATTTTCGATACATTAATGTCTAATAAAAAGTTTATGTTTTATACATGTATTTTCTTAACACTGCATCTGAACCTTTTTATATCTTTGTTTTACTGTCATCCCTCACCACTGGAAACAGCCGTAGGTGATCTTGAAACTCCTGTGTTTTTTTTTACTAATGAAGTTGATTTTAGTTTAAATATTACACATAAAAATTCTGTTGCACTGCTAATCAATCTCTCATTATATCTATAAAAGTCGCATATCCTTTCTCTTCAACTGTCGTATAAATGTGGCTGAAGGGCGTTTTTATAGCAGCGTGTAGCTGTGATATATATTTTACACGAAATGAAAATTTGCATAAATCATTTTACGTGAGGAATCGAGTCTTGGATCGTTTTTGTAGTCTGCTCTGTAACAGGCAAGCAAATACCAATGGAAATGAAAAAAGAGGAAATGAACAAACCAAAAGAAACCTACTTTGCCAAGTTATTTCATACTTGGTTAGCTGTATGCGCTTTACGCGCACGACAATTATTGAATGAGTCAAAGGCATTCTCTGTTTCTCTCTCTCTCTCTCTCTCTCTCTCTCGCACGCACACTCACACACGCGCGCGCACACACAGTGCACTGGATTGGATTCTCCGCTTCCGAAACTCCATCCATCTTGATTGAGTATTATCATGTAAAACGTGCTGAAAACTGACAGAAAATTTGGTTGTTTTATACACACACAGATTGCAAACAATATAAACAAAAGAAACATGTGTCCCTTTCTCCCCTGTTTTCGACTTCCTGAGGCATTACTGAAATTCTGTAAAAAATGCATTTTACAGTCCAACTTGCACTACGTAGGCGAGACTTCCTGGCGCTTGAGCTACTACAGAGACGAAAAACTTCCCTAACTTCAAAAAGACCACGAGCTTTCTTGAAAGACTCAGCATTCTCTCCTTCGTTCGAGATTAATTACTCAGCTCTGGATAACGCGAATAACACACGGCATCCTTTACCCCTTTGCGGCAGCCTTGCTCGATATAGTATGCCTTCGTAATGAAAATATGTCATTAAAATGAGATATCTATATAATTAGAACTCGAATTTAATTTTTTGATAATTTAAAACTGCGAAAGACAGTACATCGTTTTAAATCATCTTTAGAAAAACGTCTGTGCATATGTAGAATTACTCAAACAGAGATTTTTTTCTACATAGCGAACACACGCACACATATTCGTTTTACCGCTTTTCTATGTTTATCGAATCTACCCTCATCGATTCCCCGCCCCCTCTTCTCGGAAAAAAATGTAGTCTCGCGTGCGATCAATTTCAGTTTTCTCTGAATGTCGCACTAATGGGCGTACGTACATATCGGACAGGTGCTCCCCTTTCATCTCCCCTTCTCGGTTTACTTAACTAATCACCCTCGATGATAGGGTCGGTAGCAATGGCTCCACCTAGCAAGGGTAACACAGGGAGTCGTCTGCTTTCCATTTTATGGTCCATAGGAAGAGCATGTTGCTTACTGAATTGCTCATTAGTACAAAGACGGGTTCGAAAGAGTTTGGGAACTGAACATGATTGGAAATCATATGTTAGTAGAGAAGCAAATTTAGATAGAAAGACAGATAATATAAGCGTTCTTGAAAATGTAGATGATAGCATATGCATGTAGGTCTAGCTGAAAAATTTGTAAGGCTGTATCCATTCTATATTAAGATGCGTAAGAGAAGAATAAGGAATAATGCGTTCTGTTGTCATTGACAAGTGAGTTCTAGAACTCCGTGATGACCAGTAACTGCATTGTACTAATCACATTCTATCACAAATTTTATAGGTATGGTTCCAAAACAGAAGAGCGAAATTCCGTCGAAATGAGCGAAACATGATGGCTCAGCGAAACCAACTTTATGGGCGCCCGTCTGAGGGACCAGCAATTGAACAGCCGATCACACCAAGACCGACGCCCATTTCAGCAGACTATCTTTCCTGGTCGGCGCCAGCGCATGCGTCTTACGCCAACAATATGAGTCCCGTGCCGTCTTCTACGTCATCAAGTTGCGCCCTAGCCAATGCCTCATACATGTCTCCCTCTCCTCCTACGATTGACAATAGCATAGCCAGTTTACGGCTAAAAGCTAGGGAGTATATACAGCACGTACCGTATCCGGGAATCCCTGGGGGAATGCCACAGTGATTACGCGTGAAGTGGGACGCTCAAGAAAAAGACTATTATTGGTGATCGAGAATTCGATGTGAATTTGGAGAGGCTTCTTTAAACAGGAAGACTGTTACATGTACCAAATCTGCCGCGTTTATTTTCAATTATGCACTTAGTTTCGTTAATGACTGAAATTTCTGTTGAGTTAAAAGCCTTAACTTGGCAAAATGTGTGGAAAGAGAAATTGTTACAAAAATATTGATCTGAACTCCTTAAATAGGGACGAGGATTGGTCTTTTCAAAGGAATGTGGCTAATTCTATGTTATCCTTGGAGGAGACTATGGCCCTTTGTACATCGAGCGGTACACTTTAGTGAAAGGGTCTTACAGGTATGACTGGAATGGTGAAGAGAGTTTTGATAATCCAACTCTGGCGTATTTTACGAATTTTAATATGAGGATAGAAAAAACTTATGTTTCTTACGGTCCGGCCAAACTTTCGTTTGGTGGGAACTTTGCTCACATAATCAAAGCACAAAGAAAAATGTTTCATGAAACCAACGACTGTCTGATTTTTCAGATGCTCTTACCATTGTATATTTATAGTGTAGATAGATTATTTACGTAACATTTGTTTGAGAAGTGTTATAAAATATTATAGTATAAGATCGTCTGCTTGAGTTAATGCCTCTTACAGCGCTGAGATTGCACATAGACTCAACTCAGCTCTAATAGAGATAAAGCAAATGAAATAGTCCAACTCACTGTCACGTCTTTTGTAATCTGTATATCGGAAGCATTTATTTTGTTGTTTTTTATCAGAAGTAAAATACTTAATACTGAAAAAAACGTTTTCCCCCTTTTTCCCCTAGGAGTTCTCAGAATACTTTGCAATCTCTTGATTTTACCATTTTGGCATTTAAGTTTCAGTAAAATATTTTTCTTTGTTTCTAGTTTTGACAACAAATATCTATATTGGATCAATTTCTGTTTCAGTAGGCCTAAATACAGCGCTTTTCAGCGGCGGCATATTTTTTTATGTTTATAACACAGGCTCTGTGAATGGCAAATAACCTTGAAAACAAACAAACGTGAAATAAAACTTCAAAAACAATAATTAGTGAATGACGATGAATAGATCACCCTTATAATAGCCTGGCCTTGGTTAATGATATGGACAAATCTAAATGATTTGCCTGACAATGCTCATGGAAAAAGACCTGCAATAAGACAAGGTTTTGTATTAGTAAAAAATACATATGAATGTCACATTCATACATAGGTTTACACCACCAACAAGCTGTTACATTATTTAGGTAGAAAATGATGAACAAAAATTTAAATAAAGCAAGGAAGAAATAAAGAAATAGGAACGAAATTGTCGACACACTGGGAGGAGGAAAACCCGTTTCGTTTGAAATGAAAAACACAATGAGCACACCTATCGCAATCTGCTCCAGTCACTCGTACATTGCAGCAAATATATATAGTTCGGATGTGATATTTGCGCTACAAGATTCAAACACATCTTATTTGTTACACTCGACTTGGTAGATTATATTATTTCATTAATCATCAATTTATTGCAAAGTCTTAGGAACAAAAACACTAGTATCGTTTTATGTATCATTTTATTGAGGATAAAAATATTGTTCAAATAGTCACAGTAGTGCAAAGAGTACATGCAAACCATTAAAATAATGGTATTGTATTCTTAATAATTTTTCGGAAGTAGAATAGTATATCCCAGTTTTATGAAATAGTTATTGGGTAGAAGGAAACATTTTGACCATTTAGTGGCCATTTTGCAGTTGTTCTTTCTCGTTCCTATTTTCGTTACAAAATACACTACATGTATTTGTGCGTGTGTGGATGAGTGTGTGTGTGCGTGTGTGCATGGTGCGTTTGTACAGTGCTTGCAAATGAGAACGCGATCTTCTGATTGTTTATGTGCTCTTTAATCTTCATACAAAAGGAATCCGTTAAACGAAACATGAATGTGCCCTACACCGCTAACCGTAGATCCATTTGGTTGCTGTTGGAGCCACACCCTGTCTCCCTTCTGTAGACGAAGTATGGCCTGGTTGGTCGAGGTCTGACCGCCCGGGGTCCCGTACGCTTCATTCACGTAGCCGGCGTTGGTGCGCAGGTACACTCTTGCAGTCCTGACACCGGTGTGAATAGTGAAAGTGAAGAAGTAGGTTCCGTCGACCGGAGCGCGGAATGAGGAGACGTCATCGAAGCCTCGTCCAAGATTTGTCAGGGTCTTTTGAAATGTAAGATCAACAGCGGCGTTGCCGTTTATCAGATCTGAAGTACACATGGCTGAGAATGCGACTTTGGTTTTAGATTTTCCTGAAAATAGTAAAACTTACTTGCTAGTACATGTAGCATACGCCTTGTAGAACTGTCGGTTAGATCTAGCCTGGTGCTAGTAATGTTCATAACTATACTCAACGTTAGATATTCAGTGACATAATTCTTGTTATTCTTTGCACTTTTCTGTACTGTGAGTTATCCCTCCGCCGGCCTCTAAAATTGAGTATATGCGCGCGCGCGAGAGAGAGAGAGAGAGTCTTACCTNGCGAGAGAGAGAGAGAGAGAGAGAGAGAGTCTTACCTGGATAGGTGATGTGACAGGTAGGCGTGGGACACTGACATTCATCTGCATCTATAATAAGGATGTTAAAACTTGCCAAGACGAAGGTGATTGCTAAAAGTTGCATAGTGCAGCGCTTGTAAAGGTCTGTAAACGATTGAACAGTGTTGTCGTGAACTTTTAACGAAGTGGTTTATATTGTACAGGCAAGGATATTTAATGGTGACAATAGCCCCTTTCACACAGGCAAACAAACTGTGGTTCAATTAACTCTGATTACATGTATCAGTCAGTTTGCATTAGATTCTAGATCCTAGTTACAGACTAGTCCGTTAGTAAGTAATCAGAGTTAATTGAACCACAGTTTGTTTGCCTGTGTGAAAGGGGCTATTGTCACCATAAGATGGCCTACTGATACCTATATGATGGGTCCAGAGACTGGTAATGCAGGTCTATGTCTTTAAATTGGGGCATGGGTATCAACATACAAATTGTTTTAATTTTATAAAAATAACACGTTTAAAATTGAAAGTCTGATTTGCATGAAAAGCTAATTATAGTTCTAGTGCTGTTTACATCTTATTCTTGCATGCAAACCATTTTTTAAAAAGTTTAAATTGATCAACATTTTATATTTATGTTTTCTAAACAGTATAACTTTCATTAGTTTTGATTTTAAATGTATATACCATAATTATTAGAAATAAAATGGCATCTAATTGACAATGTGATTTTAGATTAANTCTTACCTGGATAGGTGATGTGACAGGTAGGCGTGGGACACTGACATTCATCTGCATCTATAATAAGGATGTTAAAACTTGCCAAGACGAAGGTGATTGCTAAAAGTTGCATAGTGCAGCGCTTGTAAAGGTCTGTAAACGAATTGAACAGTGTTGTCGTGAACTTTTAACGAAGTGGTTTATATTGTACAGGCAAGGATATTTGATGGTGACAATAGCCCCTTTCACACAGGCAAACAAACTGTGGTTCAATTAACTCTGATTACATGTATCAGTCAGTTTGCATTAGATTCTAGATCCTAGTTACAGACTAGTCCGTTACTAACGTGTTACTAACGGACTAGTCTGTAACTAGGATCTAGAATCTAATGCAAACTGACTGATACATGTAATCAGAGTTAATTGAACCACAGTTTGTTTGCCTGTGTGAAAGGGGCTATTGTCACCATAAGATGGCCTACTGATACCTATATGATGGGTCCAGAGACTGGTAATGCAGGTCTATGTCTTTAAATTGGGGCATGGGTATCAACATACAAATTGTTTTAATTTTATAAAAATAACACGTTTAAAATTGAAAGTCTGATTTGCATGAAAAGCTAATTATAGTTCTAGTGCTGTTTACATCTTATTCTTGCATGCAAACCATTTTTTAAAAAGTTTAAATTGATCAACATTTTATATTTATGTTTTCTAAACAGTATAACTTTCATTAGTTTTGATTTTAAATGTATATACCATAATTATTAGAAATAAAATGGCATCAAATTGACAATGTGATTTTAGATTAAAATGTCTTGTGAGCTAATTCTGTATGGACAAATTTACATGAAACATGTTACAGTTTCCGTCGAATACATGTAGTCGTCATTATTTGGAAATGTGTTAACCTTTCTTTTTCATTAGACGGGCATTAGACGGGCACAGCAAGGACTCGAGTTCCTAAGTTAGTGAGCCAAATCGAGAACATTTCTAAGGTCTTCAAAAGATGGTCTCCAAGGATCCCCTGTGTTGGGTTTTATTTATTAATCTTTATTAGTTTAGCGATTTGATAAATACTCACAGATAGATTATAGTTTAACTGATGTGTTGTTCAGACAAAAATTCAGACCATGAAGTTACCTGGGAAACAGTTCGGTAAAGACAAAGTGTACATGTACTTTGATAGAATGCTGTCGGTGATGGTGGTAAGGGTGGGGGTAGGGGTGGGATGGTAATGGGGGGAGAGGCGCCTGATCTTTAATACAAATGGTGCAGCGAGCAGGCTACGTGTCTTGCTATAATATTTTAACACTGCGATTATTTAAACCACATCACCAATCTGAAATATATATTTAATAAAAACAGGAAGTAATAATCCAACTTAGTGTCACGTCTTTTGTAACCAGTAAAGCATTTATTTTGTTGATTTTTATCAGCAGTAAAATACTTTTTACTGAAAAATAGGAGTTCTGAGAATACCTTGTAATCTCTTTATTTTACCATTTTGGCATTTAAGATTCAGTAAAAAATGTTCTTTGTTTCTAGTTTTGAAAAAATATAGATAAGTTATTGGCAACAAATATCTACAGTGGATCTATTTCTGTTTCAGTAAGTACAGCGCTTTTCAGTGAATGGCAAAAAATCTTGAAGACATTCGGATGAGGCAAACTCGTTTCGTTTGAAATAAAAAACACAATGGGCACACCTACCGCACTCTGCGCCAGTTACACTTACATCGCAGCAAATACATGTAGCTCAGTTGTGCTATTTGCGCTTCAAGCCTCAGACACATCTTATTTATTACTCTGGGCTTGGTAAGTGGTACTTTTTCATAAATCAACAATTTTTTGACAAGCCTTAAAGCAATAATAACTCTTCCTTTGAGATTCAAAATTCCGCATGAAATACATTGTAAACAACGCATGGAAATATATTCTATTGTATTTTACCACTAAAACGGCCGTTATTGTAGTAAAACTAAAATCTGTGCTTGTCAATAGGGCTTACGATGCTTTTCTTCCCGGTCATCAAGGCATTCGTTGCTAATGACGTAATGGTGTCACGCGGATTCTCGCGTTCATTCGAGACCAAAATAACATATGGCGGCAAACGCATTAATGCAGACGCAGACGTAAGTTGCGAGTTTTTGTACAGTGCGTCGGATAACGAAAAGCCCAGAATGGCACACATTGTGGATATTAATGTATTTTTAACAAAAAGACGAATATATCTCATGAATCTTATATAGTGTTGTTGTTGTCTGCTTTTCCCGCGGTTTTAAGTAGGTCAACAGTGACTATGCGATGTCAGAGAGAGCTCCGTCAGTTAAAATCTCTTAAGAGATTTTAACAAAAAACCGTACGTTTAGGAAAAAAACCCTGGATTAACTTTGAATGCAGGAATGGGGTCGCTGACCATTGGTAAGTACGGGAAAATTGCCGTTTACTCCAGGAAAATCCAATTTTTGGCCAAAATGAAGAGTTATTATGACTTTAAGAACAAGGACACTCGAAGTACCATTTTATGTATCATTTTATTTGAGGATAATAATATTGTTCAAGAAGTAGTCAGAAGTAGTCAAAAATATTGCTCAAGAAATAGTCAACGCGTAAAGAACACATGATAACCATCATAAAAATTGTAATGCATTCTTTATATGCTTTAGGTTGTTGAATAATAATCCGAGTTTTATGAAATAGTTTTTTGGTGACTAGTAATTATTTTGCAGTTGTTCTTTTTCGTTCCTATATTATGACAAAATACAGTGCATGTGTTTGTGCATATGTGTTTGGGTATGTTTAAATGTGTGTGCGCGTGCGTGTTAGGGTGCTTGCAAATGAGCACACGATCTTCTGCTTGTCTGTGTGTTCTTTAATCTTCATACAAAAGGAATCCATTAAACGAGACATGAATGTGCTCTGCATCGCTAACCGTAGCTCCATTCGGTTGCTGTTGGAGCCACACCCTGTCTCCCTTCTGTAGACGTAGTATGGCCTGGTTGGTCGAGGTCTGACCGCCCGGGGTCCCAAAGGCTTCATTCACGTAGCCGGCGTTGGTGCGCAGGTACACTCTTGCAGTCTGTCACCGGTGTGAATAGCGAAAGTGAAGAAGTAGGTTCCGTCGACCGGTGCATGGAATGAGGAGACGTCATCGAAGCCTCGCCCAAGATTTGTCAGGGTCTTTTGAAATGTAAGATCAGCAGCGGCGTTGCCGTTCATCAGATTTGTAGTACACATGGCTGAGAATGCGACTTTGGTTTTAGATTTACCTGAAAATAGTAAAACCTGCTTACCCGTATCCTTCAGCTAGTATACTGAGGAGTAGATCTAGCATGGTACTGGTATTACTCACAACTGCACTCAGCGTTTCCTCTGCCAGTGCCAAAGATTAATTTTTCACTAGGCCTAAAGATTCACAAATTAGTCTCTTGTTAATTCTATCCACTTTTCTGTACTGTGAACGAGAATTTATGTATGGAATTACACGTGTACCTCCATCCCTAGGCTGGCCCCTATTTTAGAGTACGTACCCGGTATACCCGCTGAGCGCGCAGTGTGTATATGTGCGTGTGTGTGTGTGTGTGTGAGAGAGAGAGAGATTGTCCTACCTGGATAGGTGACGTGACAAGTTGGCATGGGACACTGACATTCCTTTCCATCCATCATAAAACAGTTTAAACTTGCCAAGACGAAGGTGATTGCTTAAATTTGCAAATTGAACTGGGTTGTCGTGAATTTCTAATGAAGTGATTCACTACACAGACAAGGATATCTGAAGGTGACATTAGCCCCATTCACACAAGCAAGAAAACTATGGTCCATTAAATAATCAGTCCGTTCGCATTTGAAAAGATATCCGCGTTAGAACAGTAGTTTGCGTCGAAATAGCTAGTGTGAATTTTGTCTTTGTTATCGGTATTTTTGTAGATAAATCATGACTAATTTGTTTGCAGAAAATTTGAAGTAAACAAAGTGAGATAGATCATGACTCACAATCATATGACGCAAAAAATTATATCCTGTTGGCCTAAATGGCATAGGATTACAACGATTTACACTCCCCCGAACGTACGTTCTTAAAACTAACTGTGTTTGACAATCTCTGAATTTTGTGCGAACAAGTGAGCTACGTGTACACAGAACGCGTTTGAAAATTACTGGAACTTATATTTTTTACATATTCTATCCATCCTGCAAAGCTACTTATCCTTTATGATTTATACCTTAAAAACTTTTTTAAAACTGACTGGACAGTCATTTAGAACTAAAACATTGAATTAAAAATGAAATAAAACACCGAATCTAAGTGCATAGACGAGTAGAGAAAGAATTCGTGATACGGAGAAAATTCCCTTTTTCCACGAAAATTGATTTTTTTGATGGTAAATCGTTTACAGTACTGAAATGATTTGTTTACGAAACCTTCTTGGCGATTAGGTTATATTCGAGACAACGGAATAGGCCTTGTAAAATGCTCGTTTTCATTAGCGACATGTAGTGTTACCTGTATATGTAGGATGGCTCGAAGTTTTATTTTAATGAAGCCTTTGGAATGCCGCAGACATAAAAACATGAACTCATGGGTGTTGCAGAGATGAGGGAATACAAAAAAGATGTGGACACAATTACAGCTCCATTCGCTACTTTAGAAAATTTGACCCAGGGCTCAGCTGTCCGTCTTTGGTTTGTGACAAAAGCGAAAATGTCAGATAAGATGTTCCGGGTTGTAGTAAGGTTGTATTCAGAACAATCATCATGATTGAATTACCGTGGCCAACGCCCAGATACTTCATTCAAACAAACAAAAAAAGAACTTGACAGAACGCTGTTTATGTTGAGCTCATCGAAATATCTCTCGTGCACATGGGCAAGAAAGTCTTACGTTGTGACAAAACTTGACAGTTGCAATTTTGTAAATTTTGTAATTGAATCGTTATAACTCAACCTCTGTGAATGGCAAATAACCATGCAAACACACAAACGTTAAATAAAACCCAAGAACAATAAATAATGAAAGATGGTTAAAAGTCCAACCTTAAAATTAGTCTTCCCTTGGTTAATGATATGGGGAAATCAAATTGTTTTTGACTGATTATGCTCATGGAAATAGACCCAAGAATAAGACTAGATTTTGTATTAGTAAAAGGTAACGTTCATAGATAGGTATATGCCATCAACAAGCTATTACCAAACACACACACACACACACACACACACACATATATATATATATATAGAGAGAGAGAGAGAGAGATCAACAAAATGTACCAGTCCCCTTTCAAGAAAGAAATGAATAAACAAAAAGGAACAGTCGACACAAACAAGAGACCAACCTTTATCGTTCAAAATGAAAAACATAATGCTTACTCCTAACACAATTACCTCCAGTCACTCGTTCCTCGAAGCAAATACATGAAGTTCGGTTGTGATATTTACGTTCCAGCCATAAATCACACCTTATTTATTAGTTTTTATTTGTCAGACTTGGTAGTTAATATTATTTCATCAATCAATTTCATGACAAGCCTTTGGAGCAAAGATACTCGAAGTATCGGTTTATCTATCATTTTATTTCAGGATAAAAATATTGTTCAAGAAGTAGTCATAGAAGTCGTTAACGTGTACAGAACACATATAATTACCATAATGATAATGATTCTTAATAGAAATTAGGAGAAGAATTATATATTCAAGTTTTATGAACTATTTATTTGGTAGACTGAAATATTTTGACCATTAGTGACTATTTTGCAGTTGTTCTTTCTCGTTCCTATTTTCGATACAACATACAGTCCATGTGATGGTGCGTATGTGGTTGCTTGTGTGTGTGTGTGTGTGTGTGTGTGTGTGTGTGTTTGTTGATGGGTGTGCACTTGCAAATGAGCACGCCATCTTCTGCTTGTTTATGTGCTTGTTAATCTTCATACAAAAGGAACCCATTAAAGGAGACATGAATGTGCTCTGCAGCGCTAACCGTAGATCCATTCGGTTGCTGTTGGAGCCACACCCTGTCTCCCTTCTGCAGACGTAGTATGGCCTGGTTGGTCGAGGTATGATAGCCCGCGGACCCAAAGGCTTCATTCACGTAGCCGGCATTGGTGCGCAGGTACACTCTTGCATTTCTGTCACCGCTGTGAATAGCGAAAGTGAAGAAGTAGGTTCCGTCGACCGGTGCATGGAATGAGGAGACGTCATCGAAGCCTCGTCCAAGATTTGTCAGGGTCTTTTGAAATGTAAGATCAGCAGCGGCGTTGCCGTTTATCAGATTTGTAGTACACATGGCGGAGAATGCTACTTTGGTTTTAGATTTTCCTGAAAATAGCACACTTACACTTACATACCAGTGGCTTACACCTAGTAGTATTGAAGAGTAGTTCTAGCCTGGTACTGAAAATCCGCAAAACTACATACTCAACATTCCCCTACAATTTTTTTCACTATATTCACAAATTGGTCTCTTGTTAATTCTATCAACCTTTTTTGTACTGTGAGAGAGAATTTATGTATGGAATTACCTTCATTCTTCGGCTGGACCCTATTTTAGAGTACGTACCCGGTATACCCGCTGCGCGCACAAATGTGTGTGTGTGTGCGTGAGAGAGAGAGAGAGAGAGAATGAGAGAGAGGTTGTCCTACCTGGACAGGTGATGTGACAGGTTGGCGTGGGACACTGACATTCTTCTGCATCTACCATAAGGCAGATAAAACCTGCCAAGACGAAGGTGATTGCTAAAAGTTGCATTGCGGTTGTAAACAAATGTGTACTTCGAATGAAGTGATTTATACTACACAGACAAGGGTATTTGAAGGTGACATTAACCCTATTCACACTAGCAAGCAAACTGCGGTCCAATAAAGTATCAGCTCGTTCACACTGAAAAAGATATCCGCGTTTAAACCGCAGTTTGCGTCGAAATAGCTAGTGTGAATTTTGTCATTGTTATCGGTATTTTCTTGATAATGCATGACTAATTTGTTTCCAGAAAATTTGAAGTAAACAAGTTAAAACAAACCACGACTCACAATCATATGACACCTTTTTAGTTTGCATCCTGTTGGCCTAAATGGCATAGGATTACAACGGTGCACACTCCCCCGAACGTAAGTTCTTAACACTACCTGTGCGAACAAGTGAACTTAAAGGTACACCGAACAGGTTTGAAAATTGCATGAACTTTTATTTTCTACATATACTATCCATCCTGCAAAGCTACTAACCCTTTATAATTTAGACCTTAAAAACTGGACAGTCATTTAGAACTAAACCATTGAATTAAAAATGGAATAAAACATCGAATCCAAGTACAGAGACAAGTAGAGAAAAAATTCGTGATACAGAAAAAAATCCTGTTTATTAGATAACGAAATCTTCTCGACGATTAGGTTATATTCGAGACAACTGAATGGACCTTGTAAAATGCTCGCATTAGCGACATGTAGTGTTACATGTACCTGTACATGTATGATGGGCCGTTGACTTTTCAATGAAGCCTTTGGAACGCTGCGGACATTAAAGCATGAACTAATGGGAGTTGAAGAAATGAGGCAATACAAAAAAAGATGTGGACAAAGTTACAGCTCCATCCGCTGCGTTAAGGGAGGCAAAACATGGAGCGTACTGTACATGTGAAACATTATTAAACAACTGTTGGATCCATTCTTTGGCAGAAAGAATTCACCTAATCGGTTGAGATTTGAATTAGAATTGTCGATTCTCTTATGACTGTTGACGTATGCTTTCTTTTTGTTTCTCATTTTGAACTTAGAATATTAAATATAACATTAAAGATGGTTCATGTTATTTCCTAGACATTTTGCTCATTTTACAGTTGTAAGAAATCTTCAAACCTTAAGAAAAGGATATATTACCTTTGTGAAATAATTAATTTGAATATTTTTCCCCATTGTTAATGTTGAAATATCCCTTAATATATATATATATATATATATATATATATATATATATATATATATATATTGTATAACAATCTGATTGATACCAGTGTGTTAGGAAACTCAATGGATCTGATCCAATAATGGGACATCAGGTCGACACATGTACAAAAACCACTGATATGTATCATGTTAGGATAACATGTTTTGTTGGTTAAGTATGATTGCAATATATAGTATATACGGCACTAAAGTATCATACGTAATTGACCGCGCCAATCCAGTTGCGTGTCCAGTCATCAAGATTCCGTGGTTTTGTAAAATGACAGGGACATAGTGAAGAAAGCCGTGAAAGTTTTATGAAAGTGAACAGTAAACAGCAATTAAACGCCGCCGACGATCAGAGTTGGTAATTTTGAAAATTTGAAAATAAATAAGTCAGGCACGTAGCCAGCAATTTCAAAAGGGGGGTTCTTTTTTCTGAAAAAGTGGACCTTTTCCCATAAAAACTTCATGTACATATACCTAGGTCAAACTTTACCCACAGTGGACCTTTTCCCAGCAAAAGGGGCGGTTCTTTCGAACCCCCCGACCCCCCCCCTCCCTGGCTACGGGCCTGTAAGTTTTCCCTTGTTGGCGCTGAAATGAACGCTTCATGTTTTTTTTTACGAAAACAACCAGCAGAGCCTCGGAAAGAAAGAGTCATTTAACCCAGGGCTCAGCTGTCCATCTTTGATTTGTGAGAAAAGGGAAAATGTCAGATAAGATGCTTCGGGTTGTAGTAAGGTTATATCTAGGGTTAGGGTTGGGGTTAGGTTAGGTTAAGCCCCATGTCAGCTCTGAAAAATATGTTTCATTCTTTTTTTCACGAAAATAACCAACAAAGACTCTGAAAGAGAAGGTCATTTTACCCAGGGCTCAGCTGTCCGTATTTGGTTTGTGACAAAAGCTAAAATGTCAGATAAGATGCTCTGGATTGTAGTAAGGTTATATCCAGAACAATCATCATGTTGAAATGAAGGAGTACCGTAGCCAACGCCCAGGAACTTCATTTAAACAAAGCAAAGCACTTGTCAGAACACCGCTACGATCAAATTGTTTATTTGCTACACGAAATCGAACAATAGCTGTTTTAAGGTTATTGTAGCCCTTTATTATCATCCAGATACCGAAAATGAATCTATTCTCTGCCTCTAATTATTCAATAATGCATCTATCGTTGTGCTGATTTAAAACAATAAAAAGTCCCTCGAAAAACAAAAAAATATCGGCGTTTATATTTTTTCGTTGCAATATATAAGCTTAGGCAACTCAAAGCTTTAATCGTCAGTTTAACACCTTTCTATTTTAGGTTAAAATGGAAATCAGTATGGGGAGTAACTTCAATCCCTGAACAAGATTTTATCACGAGAATTAGCAGAGGTGACCAGAAGAATATAGGCGACAATCCCGTGAAATAATTTTGGTTTAAATGTTTTTAGTTATGGAGTAATGAGCCCCTAATTACAGACTTTCATTAAACGAATGCATTATTTTGCTTTTTCGACGATGAAAGATGAACTAAGACTTTTAAGAAAATTCGCTATCAGGGTTTTGAGGTACTAAATGGTGATATTAAATCAGCGTTAAAACAGTGATCGTGGGTGATCAGGTAAAAGAGAAATTTGAGAAACCAATTTTTCAGTTCTTACCCCAAAATTGCGATTATGGCGTCACCCGTAAGATGACATATGTATAAATGTTAATTAATTTAGTCACTGAACACTGAAGGTTGATTTATTACCCAAAAGAATGTATGTAAGGCAGAAAATAAGGAGTTTTGGGCGAAGGGTGACAATATCCTTAAAATTCGCTATTCTAGTGATGCCACGTTTCCAAATCTTTTACTTTCCCTGTTATTTGTCATATGGATTTAACATCCTGTCTTTCGAAGAAAACTTATAAAAGCGCAAAATATTTGAGTTTTGATACTAGAAGATTGCAGACATCCAAAAGATGTCTTAACAATTATATGAGTGTGCGGTGTAATACTGTGTTACAGGTATGTTTCTGATTGGCTTAAACCATTTGTCTTGCTCTTGCTGATTGGTTCAAATCATTCATCTTTGTGACACGGCAATTCTGAACCTCTAAACCTCTAAAACGACGATACCAGCCATCTTCCAAAAACACGTAAGCGTCAGCGTGTATATAAGCAAAATACCATAGCAGAGCATTAGAAAAAAGAGGGTAATCAAACATGAAGGTCGTAATGCTTTTGGCGATGGTTTTGTATTTTTTGGTCAGTTCAAAAAGTTTTAATGATGGTCATGCAGCTAATTTGCCAAAGCAAAGAAACCCTAGGTCAACAAGTAACTCCGCCACTGTCACGTCTACAACTTTGTTTTCTCCTGAAACCGTCAGCAGTCGCGACAACCAGTTGAGAACGACTCGGCCTAGGCACGAAAGCACCAGAGACCAAACCGGCCCTCCAGTGGTCACTGAAAGTGACAACCTCATTATCACAGACCAAAGGAGCACTGGTCACGAATCTCAAGAACATTCATTTAACCCAACACCGAAGCTAGACCAGGTTGGTTCAACTTTTTCAATGCTGTATTCACAGAGAGAACTGATGCTGTTGAACGTAACAGTTAACACCCCGTTTTGTGCTAGCCGTAAAGACAGCTTGACCAATGATGTCGTCCTAGTAACTTGTTTCTGCGACGACTTGTGTAACGTGTTTGGTGATTGCTGTTGGCCATACGACCGCTTTTGCAACGAAACCAGAATCACGGGCTTTGAAATACAGAGAAATGATACAAAGTGTTGGTTACAGGCATCTAGAGAAATCGCTGACGATGACAGTAAATTCTATTGGGTCGTGTCTTCATGTCCAAGTCACTGGAGTGATGAAGATGTTCGAAAGAAATGCGAGTTCAATGGTTGGTCCACTGACATCAATGTTTTATTGCCCGTCTCGTCAACAAAGGCAAATGTCACATTTAAAAACGCTTTCTGTGCAGCATGTCACAAAGCGATGTCACACACAGCATGGAAACCCAAGATTTTTTGTCAGAAGTCACAAATCGAAGTTTTCAAAGACGTTAAGACCGTTGCCGGACTTTTGGAGCAGATTCATTTGACACCAGATTGCATGGTGCTCTTTGATGCTCCGGAACAGCACCCAGGGCGCCCTTGCATAGGCCCTGGAGGGGTGCACGAACCACTGAGTGGGACGGTTGACGGGATATGTCCAAACAGAGCCGACGCTGAGTCCTCGCGTCTTTGTAATTACGGACCCGTGTCCGTGACTTATTTTGCAGGACCCCATGGATACTCTTATGGTCGAAATATTTACTGTTGGCTTTGTCGCCTGCCACGGATTACTATCCCAAGCATTCAAAAGTGTAACGAAAATGGTAAGTCATCTTGATCATACGTTTGTTATTTTTATTGAGGCCATTACCAAAAAGAAAGAGAAATTGTGTCATAATATTCTTACCTGCTTTTTGTTTATGATCCATTATTATTATTTTAAATACGCTTTCCAACTGTTTTGATCTTAAAGTAACTGACTTAGCGACCCCATTCACAATCACAATGTTCACTGAGAATAAAATTGGAGTCATTTGACTCTCTAGTCAGAGTCCAGCACCCCTTGACCCTCATGGAGTTAATTTGACTCCTATATAAGGGTCAAATTACCCCACTACCAGAGCTTTAGACTCTCTTATCAAAGTCAATCACCCCCTGGCTCTCATGGAGTCAATCTGACTCTAAAATCAGAGTCAAATTATCGGGGGCCAGTGTCTGGCTGACCCCTTTCACCGACTTGTTTCGCTCGCTGGACAGTAAGCTTCGTTTCATTACTTGTGATGGCAGTGAGCAGACGGCGTGGAGAGAACAGTTTTCATCTTGCTTTGTCAGTATAAACATAACTTTATTGACCATAGTTGGTTTTATGCATGGACAAGTGGTTTTCAGTGTGTTTCTGCATGCAGATCTCGTGCACTTATTACTGGCCCGGGCTTTCAGTTGCCACACCCTTATGTGGTATGTTGGTATACAGGTCAGCAGGTTTTGTTTCCAGGTTGTCAGTGTCATGTCAGTGGAGAGGTATGCTCACTAATTGGTATATTTGTGGTGTATATATATATATATATATATGTGTGTGTGTGTGTGTGTGTGTTTGTGTGTGTGTGTCATACTGTTTATTACCAGATTTACAAACTGTTTGTTATTGCTCCTTTCATACCACATGTGACCGCATGGTCGAGTGGTTAGAGTGTCCGCCTGTGGGACAGGATAACGTGGGCTCGAACCCGTCCGGGGACACAACAGTCTGGAGTCAATGATACTTGCTGTCTCTCCCCTTGGTACTATTGTTAATGTTTTTTGTTCGTGATGTCCCAAGGAGTAAAAAATTCCTTAGTATGGCGTCATGTCTCTTTTGTAGAGATATATCAAGGGATGAACGGATGTGTGAATGGAGTCAATTGTGACCCTCCTGTGGGGTCTGGAATGGCATTACTCCATTGGTGTCAACTTGACTCCAATTGGGAGTTATTTTAGGCACCACTGCTGGACTCCAAGTTTGGAGTCACTTGGACTCCGATTTTATTCTCAGTGTTTGGTATAGTTAGATAAAATTCTATTAACTTATCGATTTATTAGGACGATTATTTTGCACATCATTTTTTGTGCACCTAATACTTGACCTTTCAACCTCCAGACGAACTAGAGAGGAAGGGGTTCGAACCACATGGCCTTTCTGCTTTAATTGATTATCACAGAGAGGCACGCTGCCAGGAAACTTGGACTCGCGTAAGCATGCATAATTCTTTAACTCATTTGCGCCACATTAAAATATAGTTGAAACCTGAAATATAAACGAAAATAACACTTCGAATATATCATCTGAAGAGTTCATATTCTTCATATTTGCAGTGTTGTCTTTATTCTGGTACATGAATCCATTGGTAGTTGGGTTACCTTTACAGAAAATTCTAGAAGAATTTTTAAGGGGAGTCTGTTATTGTATCTAATGTAGGGATTTTTTTTCCATTTTGTTATATGTTATCATTTGTATATGTTCCCCTAGTGAGCCTCCAAGTATGGTAAATTAAAGTGAGTAATGTAGAAAGTTGTCATTCTATTTCATTATTTCATTGAATTGTCAAATTTGACTTATAACGGCAACCTATAAGCACGCTGGCCTTACCACGCACAGGAAAATGTACCTGTAGTTTAAATTGTTTTATACAAATTCAGGCCTACCCAACTACCAGACTCGGCACCGAATGATCCGGTAGATCGGACCACACTACCCGTTTTGAAGTTGTGCGTCAGTACGAATTTCACAGTATCATATACCCCGGAACAAATTTTGAAATGAGATGAGATGCACTACTTTCCAACCCCGCTCAGAATCATCGCTATCGCATCGGTTAGGCAGGAGCGGTGTCGCGTCGGATACTTCGAAGCTCGTACTGACGCATACCTTGAAACGGGTAGTGTGGTCCCAACTACCGGTGAATTCAGGATCATTCGGTGTCGAGTCTGGTAGTTGGGTAGGCCTGATATTTTTCCACTAGCACACGCCTCATAAACGGTAAATGCCGTTTGCGATCTCGAACCTGGGATTTGTTATCGCGAACGAATTAAATACTTAAATCGCGATGTCATGGCGTGAATGTATAATAAGTGGTCGCTGGCATCACATGTACCCCATGTACATAAAAGCTAGCATTCATCCGGGTCTCTAGCAATTAACAAAGGGTTCTTTTTCTCAACCCCCAACCCGTACATGCGGAACGTACCGAACAGGTACCGAAAAGATTCGCGATTTGTATCGCGGTGCTCGCGCCCACTAAATTTACGTTCGTGGCATGATATCGCAGTTTGAGCCAATAATTCGTCATTTGCGATCACGAACCCGAGGCTCGAAATCAGGAAAGCCTTATTCGTTTTTATGACCTGTACCATTTGGATTGTATTTTAGGATGCCTGTAAGCAGTCCGAAGAATGTCCAGCGGATGTAAAGTGGTGCTCTCTCCCCCTCGATCTTATCATTAACTTGACATTCAAATTAAGTATCCAACTCAGTCCTATAGAGCCCATTAAGAGACCATGTGAGTTTTTGGCACTCTGCACTCTTGGCTTCAAGTTTTTTAGTGGGGGAGACTTATCTAGCTTTTCACCACGTGGCGCGTGGGTGCTATCAGAAGAAGGGATAGAAGGAGATTGGTGCACACTACCCCGAGATGAGAGGGGTAATATCACCATCGTTATACCGATAAGACTTAAGCAGGGCGTTCATCGTGTGAGCGACGCCGATCGATTGTTCGAGGGCTTTGTGGATGAAGTCAAAGTAAAATCTCACCGTCAGATTTATTTCAAAATTAATTTTAACGTCAATTTTATGAGATACCGCAACTCCTTAAGTGCGATCTCGTCTGGAAAAAAGAGTGCCGGTATCCCAACATCTCTCTCTCCAGTCCAAGTCAATCTTATGTTCTGGCAGGCTTTGATAGCAATTTTCATCAATTATATGTACATCTAAATGTGCAGATATCTTTATATATTGTTTTATTCATTTCAGTTTATGCCAGTAGTGGTGCATTCATTAAGGATATAGTAACCCTTGATTATCATCCAGATACCGAAAATGAGGTTTCCTCTATCTTATTAATCAGTAAAGCATCTATCTTTGTACTGATAAAAAACTCGAAAATATGAAATATCGGCGTTTATATTTCTCGTTGCAATGTACCGCGGTATAAACCTAGGCAGCTCAGTGCTTTAATCGTCAATTAAAAACCTTTCTATTTTGAGGTGAGAGAGCAATCGGTATGGGGCATAACTTATCCTTGAACAAGATTTTTATCACGAAAATTGGCGGAGTTTACCACGAGTGTTAGCTACAATACCGTGCCGCCATTTTGGTTTAAATGTTTTTGAGATTTTCATCAAACAAAGGCATTATTTTGCTTTAATATTAACTAAGACTTCCAAGAAAAATCGCTGGCAGGGATTTAGAAGACTAAATCAGACGTTTTAAACGGACTGGGCGTTTACTAACACTACCCTCAGATCTTTTAGCACTAACACACATATTAACCACCTAACCCAGAAATTAACCAGCACTACCAGAGCAGATGAATGTTAGTGCTAGGAATCGCGTTGTTGGTGCTAAATAATTGTACGGTGTACTGGTAAATTCGTGTGCTTTGTGGTTGATATTACTGTTTGTACTAAAAGATCTGCGGGTAGTGTTAATAGTCGCGTAATCCGTTTATAAGGCCGGTAAATAGTGTCATTAAATTGGCGTTTTAACGTTTAAAAACAGTGATCGCGGATCAGGTAAAAGAGAAATTTGAGATACCGATTTTTCAGTTCTTACTCCAAAATTGCAATTATGACATCACCCGTAAGATGACTTATGTATAAATGTTAATTAATTTAGTCACTGAACACTGAAGGTTTATCTAATACCCAAAAGAATGTGTGTAAGGCAGTAAATATAGTTTCGATTACTAATTAAATAAACTGGTTATAATGGTCATTGGCATGACTGACGACCAGGGTTTGAACTGCAATCTAGCTGCAGTGTCTGGTCTTACAATTTTTAGTTTATGAGAGATGAGCCCGCATTATATCGCCTCTTTACTACTGTAGTATTTATAATATCAAATTTCCTGGCACCGTCTGTACTATTTACTGATTATTTTGATTAAATAGACTTTAGAACTATTAAAGTCATCAGTTGGAGTTAGCAAATTCACCCCAATGTATTTTAAAGCGACAACATTATCTCATAAAATGACACCTTGATTTCTATGATATTGTATCAGATTTAAAAAGAAAAATATTAGGTATACTTCAGAAATTTCCATTGGCTCAAAGTACATGTATCACACGTACATGTAGGCAGATTTAATAAACATTTAACTGTACAATTTAAACGAATTTTAAATAATTTAATTGAAGCAACAGTTTCAGGAAAAACCTGATATTTTAATGAAATTTGGACTTCAATAAAAGACCTTAAAACAAGTTTTCTGTGGTTGCAGTGTATGTATTTACATTTTCTTCTTTTTAAAACCCTACTCAATGTAACGGTCAACTTTTGCTTCAAATCTTAACTGATTCTTTATAAAATAAAAATCAACAACAAAACAACACCAAATTAACATATATGACAAATATTTATTCTTCATGAACAAAAAAACTAGACAACATTGAAAATGACAATTTTTTTTTTATTTTGTAGTGAGAAATAAATATATAATTTTAAGATTATGAAACATATGATATAATAACATATCATATGTTTCATATGATATGATATAATAACATATCTTGGGCGCCATGGAACTATCTATCTTACATATGCTAATACAGTGTATATACCAATGCTACAGTATGTTTTTTTTTCATTTTGCACTGTATTTATTGTACAATGTACAACTATAGGCATCCATTGAAAGCATTTGTTATGAATAGTGTAAAAGAAAAATTCAGTATCCATGATATGACCTGTACTATCCCATCCTACAAAAAGCCAAAAAAAAAAAAAAAAAAAAAAGAAAGAAAGAAAGAAAAATGAATAAATAAGAACGCTACGGTCGACACATCCGATGAGGCAAACCCGTTTTTGAAATGAAAAACACAATGGGCACTCCTACCGCAATCTGCTCCAGTCACTCGTACATTGCAGCATGTAGCTCGGTTGTGATATTTACGCTCCAGCCTTTAATCACATCTTATTTATTGGACTTGGTAGATGATATTATTTCATCTATCAACAATTTATTGAAAAGCCTTAGGAACAAAGGCAATCGAAGTACCGTTTTATGCATCATTTTATTGCGGATAAAAATATCGTACAAGTAGTCCTAGAAGTCGTTAACGGGAAAAGAGTACATGATAACCATTATATTCATGGAAATGCATTCTAAAAAGTAGAGAGAAGTAGAAGTAGAATAATATATTCCAGTTTTATGAAATAGTTATTTGGTAGACGGAAACATTTTAATCATTAGTGAGTATATTCAGCAGTTCTTTTTATCGTTCCTATTTTCGTGACATAATACAGTTCATGTGATTTTGCGTGTGTGTTAGCGTGTGCTAATGTGTGTTTATGTGTGCGCGCGTGTGTGAACGTGCGTGTATGTGTGAACTTGCAATTGCGCACGCCATCTTCTGCTTGTTTACGTGCCTGTTAATCTTCATACAAAAGGAATCCATTAAACGAGACATGAATGTGCTCTGGAAGGCTAATCGTAGCTCCATTCGGTTGCTGTTGGAGCCACACCCTGTCTCCCTTCTGCAGACGTAGTATGGCCTGGTTGGTCGAGGTATGATAGCCCGCGGACCCAAATGCTTCATTCACATAGCCGGCATTGGTGCGCAGGTACACTCTAGCACTCTTGACGCCGCTGTGAATAGCGAAAGTGAAGAAGTAGGTTCCGTCGACCGGTGCACGGAATGAGGAGACGTCATCGAAGCCTCGTCCAAGATTTGTCAGGGTCTTTTGAAACGCCAGATCGACAGCGGCGTTGCGGTTTCTCACAATTGAAGTAGACATGGCGGAGAATGCAACTTTGGTTTTTCCTGAAAATAGTAAAACCTGCTTGCTAGTGGCCTACACCTGGTAGTGCTGAAGATTAGATCTAGCCTGGTACTCAGTACTGATATTACTCACAACTGTACTCAACGTTCCCTCTACCAGTGCCTCAGATTGATCAAGTTTACACTACATTTTCACAACTTTGTCTCTTGTTAATTCTATCCAACTTTCTGTACTGTGAGCGGTTTATATGCGGAATTACTTTCATCCCTCTGCTGGCCCCTATTTTATAGAATACTTGCTGCACGCGCATGAGCGTGTGTGTGTGTGTGTGTGTGAGAGAGAGAGAGATAGAGAGATAGAGAGAGAATGAGAGAAAAATTGTCTTACATGTACCTGGATAGGTGATGTGACAGGTTGGAGTGGGACACTGACTTTCTTCTGCATCTACCATAAGGCAGATAAAACTTGCCAAGACGAAGCTGATTGCTACAAATTGCATCGTGCAGCGTTTGTAAACAAATTCAACTGTGTTGTCGTGAACGTCTAATGAAATGATTTATACTACACAGACAAGGATATTTGAAGGTGACATTAGCCCTTTTTACACTAGCAAGCAATTGTGGTCCAATAAACCCTTGTTATCTGTCCTTTCACGTTACAAAAAATAGCCTTGATAGAACCGCGGTTTGGCGTCGAAATAGCTAAATTGAATGTTGTCATTGCTATCTAGACAAAACATGTTTATTTTATTTCCAGATGCAGCAAATTTGAAGATAACAAGTAATAATAACCATGACTCACAATAATATGAAATCTTTTTAAATCTGTATCCTGTTGGCCTTATAGTATAGGATAACAACATTATTTAATTTATAAAGCTAACTGATGTGAACAAGCGAATATAGGGCTTATTTTCATTGACACAAGTGGTGCACGTTTATCGATCCAACTCCTCTAGTGACTGTCGCTTAATGCAATCAGTTTATCAAAGTAATACGCCTCCTCTTGTTTCCAACGTACTCGTTTAAAATCACAAGCTTATCTGTTTTCTATTGAGGAAGAGTGTTGATCTGTTATACTGATTGCATTCAGCGAGGGTACTCTCAGCGTTGGATCGATCTACGAAGGCCGTTAGATAAGGGAATGAGCCCTGAAACATATAGTACACAGTGCGCGTCTGAAAATTCACAAAACTTATATTTCTACAAAGTTTAGACATTGTCTGCGTATGAAAGCTATAAAAGCCTCAAATAAAAGTACCTGACGTCATTAGCTCCTGTAATGTACAGGAAGACATGGTCATCTAAATGACTGGCCAGTTGTTTAGAACTAAGTAGCTGAATTAAAAAGTGCTGGGACGAGTAGAGCAATGATTCGTGATTGGATAAATTGCTTTTTTCTCCAGGAATTTTGGCGGATAATTCCCATTTAAAGTATCGAAACGATGCGAAAAGAAGTCCTCTTGGCGGTTACGTTATACATGTGTTCGAGCCAACGGAATTGGCCTTCTATATGCTCGTTTTCAGATGCAACATTTAGTATAACGTGTACATAAAGGATGGGTCGTAGTTTTCTAAAATGAAACATTTGAAACTCCTCAGAAAAAAAAACATGAACTCATGGGATCACGTGAGCTGGAGGAGTACAAAAATGTGGATAATTTGAATTGATTCAAACTACATGTATCACACGTACATGTGGGCAGCTTAAATGAACATTTCACTGTACAATTTAAACGACTTTTAAATAATTTAATTGAGGCAACAGTTTCAGGAAAAACCTGATATTTTAATGAAATTTGGACTTCAATAAAAAACCTTAAAACAAGTTTTCTGTGGTTGCAGTGTATATATTTACGTTTTCTTCTTTTTAAAACCCTACTCACTGTAAAGGTCTATGTGGCAACTTTTGCTTCAAATCTTAACTGATTCTTTACAAAATTAAAATCAACAACAAAACAACACAAAATTAACGTATATGACAAACATTTATTCTTCATTAACAAAAAAACTAGACAACATTGAAAATGGCAATTTTTTATTTTGTAGTGAAAAATAAATATGTAATTTAAAGATTATATAATATAATATCATATCTTGAGCGCCATGGAACTATCTTACATATGCTAATACAGTGTATATACCAATGTTACAGTATTTTTTTTTCATTTTGCACTGAATTAACTGTACAGTGTACAACTATAGGCATCCATTGAAAGCATTTGTTATAAATAGTGTAAAAGAAAAATTCAGTATCCATATTACTGGAAAGTTTTCCATGATATGACTTGTACTATCCCCTCCTACAAAAAGTCAATGAAATGAATAAATAAGAATGTTACGGTCGACACATCCGATGAGGCAAACCCGTTTTAGAAATGAAAAACACAATGGGCACTCCTACCGCAATCTTCTCCAGTCACTCGTACATTGCAGCATGTAGCTCGGTTGCCTTAAATCACTTCTTATTTGTTATATTGGACTTGGTAGAAGATTGTATTTCATAAATCAACAATTTATTGAAAAGCCTTCGGAACAAAGGCAGTCGAAATACAGTTTTATGCATCATTTTATTGCGGATTAAAATATTGTTCAACAAGTAGTCCTAGAAGACGTTAACGTGAAAAGAGTACATGATAACCATTATATTGATGGCAATGCATTCTAAAAAGGCTTTAGGAAGTAGAATAATATATTCCAGTTTTATGAAATAGTTATTTGGTAGACGGAAACATTTTAATCATTAGTGAGTATATTTAGAAGTTCTTTTTATCGTTCCTATTTGCAAAATACAGTTCATGTGATTGTGCGTGTGTTTGCATGTGTTTGTGTGTGTTTATGTGTGTGCGCGCGCGTGTGCGTGCATGTGTGAACTGGCAATTGAGCACGCCATCTTCTGCCTGTTTACGTGCCTGTTAATCTTCATACAAAAGGAATCCTTAAACGAGACATGAATGTTCTCTGCAAGGCTGATTGTATATCCATTTGGTTGCTGTTGCAGCCACACCCTGTCTCCCTTCTGTAGACGAAGTATGGCCTGGTTGGTCGAGGTCTGACCGACCGGGGTCCCATAAGCTCCATTCACGTAGCCGGCATTGGTGCGCAGGTACACTCTTGCAGTCCTGACACCGGTGTGAATAGCGAAAGTGAAGAAGTAGGTTCCGTCGACCGGTGCATGGAATGAGGAGACGTCATCGAAGCCTCGTCCAAGATTTGTCAGGGTCTTTTGAAATGTAAGATCAGCAGCGGCGTTGTCGTTTATCAGATTAGTAGTACACATGGCGGAGAACGCGACTTTGGTTTTATATTTTCCTGAAAATAGTAGATTTAAGCCTGATTATCAGTGGCCTGCACCTAGTAGTACTGAAGATTAGATGTAGCCTGGTACTGGTATTACTCACAACTGTACTCAACGTTCCCTCTACCCATGCCACAGATTGATTTTTCACTATATTCACAAATTAGTCTCTTGTTAATTCTATCTACTTTTCTGCAATGTGAGCCAGAATTTTTGTATGGAATTACCTTCATCCCTCGGCTGGCCCCTATCTTAGGCTATACGTGTTGCACGTGCATGTGTGTGTGTGTGTGTGTGTGTGTGTGTGAGAGAGAGAGAGAGAGAGGGAGAGAGAGATTGTCCTACCTGGATAGGTGACGTGACAGGTTGGCATGGGACACTGACATTCCTTTCCGTCCATCATAAGACAGTTCAAACTTGCCGAGACGAAGGTGATTGCTTAAATTTGCAAATTCAACTGGGCTGTCGTGAATTTCTAATGAAGTGATTCACTACACAGACAAAGATATTTGAAGGTGACATTATCCCCAAGCACAAGCAAGAAACCTGTGGTCCAATAAATAATCAGCCCGTTCACCTTTGAAAAGATATCCGCGTTAGAACCGCAGTTGCGTCGAAATAGCTAGTGTGGATGTTGTCATTGTTATCGGTATTTTTCTAGATAAATCATGCAGAAAAGTTGAAGTAAACAACGTTAGATAGATCATGACTCACAATCATATAACACAAAAAAGTATATCCTGTTGGCCAAAATTGCTTAGGATTATAACGATTTACACTCCCCCGAACGTACGTTCTTAAAACTAACTGTGCGAACAAGTGAACTTCAAGGCACATGTACACCGAACGCGTTTGAAAATTACTGGAACTTATATTTTCTACATATTCTATCCGTCCTGCAAAGCTAGTAACCTTTATGATTTATACCTTTTAAACTTCTTTAAAGCTGACTGGAAAGTCATTTAGAACAAAACCATTGAATTAAAAATGAAAGAAAACACCGACTCTAAGTGCCGAGAAGAGTAGAGAAAGAATTCGTGATACGGACAAAATTCCTTTTTTCCCACGAAAATTGATTTTTGAGGGTAAATATCCTTTACAGTATTTAAATGATTTGTTTACGAAACCTTCTTGACGATGAGGTTATATTCGAGACAACGGAATTGGCCTTGTAGAATGCTCGTTTTCATTAGCGACATGTAGTGTTACCTGTACATGTAGGATGGGTCGAAGCTTAATTTTAATGAAGCCTTTGGAATGCCGCAGACATAAAAACATGAACTCATGGGTGTTGCAGAGATGAGGGAATACAAAAAAGATTTGGACACATATACAGCTCCATTTGGCTACTTTAGAAAATTTGAAAATAAATAAGCTTTCCCGTATCGGCGCTGAAACGAACGCTGCATATTTTTTTCACGAAAACAACAAACAAAGACCCCGAAAGAGAAATAGTCATTTGACCCAGGGCTTAGCTGTCCGTCTTTGGTTTGTGACAAAAGCGAAAATGTCAGATAAGATGCTCCGGGTTGTAGTAAGAACAATCATCATGATTGAATTACCGTGGCCAACGCCCAGATACTTTATTAAAAAAAAAAANGAATCGTTATAACTCAGCCTCTGTGAATGGCAAATAACCATGCAAACACACAAACGTTAAATAAAACCCAAGAACAATAAATAATAAAAGATGGTAAAAAGTCCAACCTTAAAATTAGTCTTCCCTTGGTTTATGATAATGGGGAAATCAAATTGTTTTTGACTGATTATGCTCATGGAAATAGACCCAAGAATAAGACTAGATTTTGTATCAGTAAAAGGTAACGTTCATAGATAGGTATATGCCATCAACAAGCTATTACCAAAGACACACACACACACACACACACACATATATAGAGAGAGATCAACAAAATTTACCACCCCCCTTTAAAGAAAGAAATTAATAAACAAAAAGGAACAGTTTGAGGGTAAATATCGTTTACAGTACGTAAATGATTAGATAACGAAATCTTCTCGACGATTAGGTTATATTCGAGACAACTGAATGGGCCTTGTAAAATGCTCGCTTTCACTAGCGACATGTAGTGTTACCTGTACATGTAGGATGGGTCATTGATTTTTTAGTGAAGCCTTTGGAACGCCACAGATATAAAAACATGAACTAATAGGAGTTGAAGAGATGAGCCAATACAAAGAAGATACGGACAAAGTTACAGATCCATCCGTTAAGGGAGGCAAAACATGGAGCGTACACGTGACACATTATTACACAACTGTAGGATCCATTCCTTGGCAGAAATGATTCACCTTATCGGGTTAGATTTGAATTAGATTTGTCGGCTCTTTTATGACTGTAGACGTATACTTTCTTTTTGTTTCTCAATTTGAACTTAAGAAAATTAAATATACATGTAAAATTAAAGATGGTTTATGTAATTTCCTAGGAATTTTGCTCATTTTACAGTTGTAAGAGATGGTATATTACCTTTGTGATTTAACCAGTAGTGTAATAATAATATTAATAATAATAATAAAAATAATAATAATAATTAATATTAATATTACCTTGCTCAAAGTCTTGATCTCCATAAGGCCAGAAGGTCTGTAATTTTACAGTGAACACGACACCTCTTTTTGCCTCGCAACCATCACCGATTGCAAAAAGGTATGTAACCAGTCGCTACATCTCGCAAAATGCTCAAGAGATATTAAAAAAGTGGAGAGTAGAGATACCGTGAAAATGACAAACTGTGAGTAATAGAGAAACAACAGACTTTTCTTTTTTATCAGATTGCTTTATTTTTACTGAACTTTGAAATATATATTTCTGTTAAGCAAGACTTTAACAAACAATATAGTCATCATTTGGATATCGCTGAAGTGACGTCCTTTGCTCCACGAAAACATCTTTGCGTCCATTTGTTCTTTCGTTTAAAAGAATTGTGAAAAAGAAAACCTGGAAAACCAGCAGTTGCCTAAAAAATCACTGCACACAGTTACTCTAAATATAAAGTTCATTTTAAATAGTACAAAAACAGTACCGTGCATAATTAATTTCTATGTCTAAGTCATGCTAGCGTACGTTTCATGCTGTGAGCAGTTGACTCGGCATTAAGATCACACTTAGTTTACGATTATGAAATACTGGACATGTATGAGTAATAGCGATGCACATCTATATATATACAATTTTGGTACTATTTATCTATATTAAATTTTCTTTTTTGTATTATTACTATTACTATTTACCTCTGTACATTTTCACCAGCTCAGTCTGGCGAAGAAAGTATGAATAAGTGTGTTAGGAAACGCGATGAATCTTATCCAATAATGGGGCATCAGTCGACACATGCACAAAAACACTGATATGTAATATGTTAGAATAACATGTTTTGTTGGTTAAGTACGATTGCCATATATAGTATATACGGCACTAAAGTATCATACGTAATTGACCGCGCCAATCCAGTGGCAAATCCAGTCATTAAAATTCCGTGGTTTTGTAGAATGACAGTGAACGGTTAACAGCAATCAAACGCCGCCGACGATCAGAGCTGTTAATTTTGAAAATTTGAAAATAAATAAGTTTTCCCTTGTCGGCGATGGAATGAACGCTTCATGCATATTTTTTCGCGAAAACAACCAACAAAGCCTCGGGAAGAAAGAATCATTTAACCCAGGGCTCAGCTGCCCATCTTTGATTTGTGACAAAAGAGAAAATGTCAGATAAGATGCTCCAGGTTGTAGTAAGGCTATATCTAGGGTTAGGATTGGGGTTGGGTTAGGTTAGGCCCCATGTCGGCTCTGAAAAAATGCTTCATTCTTTTTTTCACGAAAACAACTAACAAAGACTCCGAAAGAAAAGGTCATCTAACCCAGGGCTCAGCTGTCTGTCTTTGCTTTGTGACAAAAGCGAAAATGTCAGATAAGATGCTCCGGATTGTAGTAAGGTTATACCCAGAACAATCATCGTGTTGAAATGGAGGAGTACCGCGGCCAACGCCCGGGTACTTCATTTAAACAAAACAAAGCACTTGCCAGAACATCGCCACGATCAAATTGTTTATTTGCTACACGAAATCGAACAATAGCTGTTTTAAGGTTATTGTAACCCTTTATTATCATCCAAATACCGAAAATGCCTCTGCCTCTAATTATTCAATAATGCATCTATCAATGAAAAATCCCTCGAAAAACAAAAAATATCGGCTTTTATATTTTTTCGTTGCAAAGTACAGACTTGACATTTAATATGGAATATTTTTTCCAAATCATTTTTCATCAGTTTTTACTGACTGATAAATGAAAATAAGGATTAAAATCGTGTTCTAATAACTTTTAATTATCTCTTTGATGTCATTGTGACATCAGTTCATTATTGGAATTCGCCAGAGAAGCAAACAAAAACACATTGCCTTTTCTACTTCATACGGCAACCATTAAATGAGATATTTTAGAACTCCATATTTTCCAAATTATTGTCTGTAAAAGAGTTACACGCTCCACAAAAGACCTTCATGTCAGTGTCTAGTCACAGTAACAGTCGCTGTTACGCCTGACCTTTTCTGGCTGCTACCAGCGCTCTCAAGCGACAAGGCATTCCTTGGGAAATGTTTTTAGAGTTCAATCTGGAATAACATTCCAGGCATCGGTCGAAATCTGTCCAATTTGGCCCAGTTTTGTTGTAGGACATGTAGGCCATTCATTTGGCGAGTAATGGCCTACCCACATATTGTCTACGTGGTTCAAATATGGCGGTTTTGATGACCAAGGTAGCTGTTCATTCCCTTGGTTCTCTAAGTAATCTGTTATTAAAAGTGCTCTGTGTGAACCGGCAATCCCACCCTACAACCTAAAATTGTTCTTAAGGTGCCCCCTATCAAATGATAGTCAAGTGGTTCCCAGATTATTCCTTTATTTAATCTGGTTCAGGTTTTCGTCGATGACTGCCATTGGTGTTTTGGCACCAATGTGGTATCCACTTCAAATACTGACGCTGTTAATGACCTAAGTCACTTTAGAGGCGGCACACTCTTCGTCGTTGGCCTCTTCTGGATGTCTGTAAACTCTGTTTTGACTAGTTGAGCGATACAGGTGAAATCTGACCTCAATAAAGAAAGCCACGAGGTTTCAGTGTTCAACCCAGAAACGGTCATGGTCCCTAATTCATTAGAGAAACATACAACGATGTTTTGCTGTTTACAGTGGGTTCCTCGGAGGTCGTCTGGTATTCTAACCTGCAAAAAACAGTTTGGTGTTCGCTAAGGGCCTTGAAAAATGCGTTTTGGTGGCAATTTACCCCTCATTCTGAACGGACTGGGTGGTTTTTGTTTAGTTGCAACGGCATATCCTGAAAGACAGTGGGTCCTGTACTCTGGTGGTAAGATTTTAATACATTGGGTGTGACCTCTGTGTAGGTACATCAGTCTGGGCATTACTCTATAAAACTGTGCGGACCGTTTCGTTTGGCGCAATTAACTGTCTGGCAATGTCTGTCTTTTTCGTGCCATTTTGCCACAGATTAACAATCTTGCAAAGCACTGCATAGCTCATTATACACACTGCAAAACCGACCACTTGCATGCAAAATTTCAAATTCTTCTATGCAGTAGTTGCCGACATATGGATACTTTTTTGACAGAACCGTGCTTTGCCAAAGCCATGCTTTGACCT